ACCCATTCTCCCACGGTTGGATCTTTGACATTCTTTTGAGGTGAAGTCTTCTTTGCAGCACAAGCCATGCTTTGCACATGTCCTTTCCCATATCGCTGAATGTCCCGGGAGGGTGGCTGTGTCCTGGGACCTGCTGGTATTCAGCTTTATCCAGAGAACTGGAAACGTTTTTTCAAAGATGCATTGCTTTCTCACTTAACTCGGGCATTATCTAAGGGTTTTCTTGTTGGCAATCAAAGAATATATAAAATATTACCTCAGTGTACTCGTGGGTTTCATGTCTCTAGTTCCTAACCCCTGAGTGTAGGACTTTGCACAGTCAGGGTCTTTGGGATTTTTGAGGTCTCTCTGCTTTCCATGAGGACATAGCTTTCATTTATTTAGGTCTTATTTTCTGTTGCACACCAACATTTTCTTGACATTAATCTAGAGTAACAATTGTCGGATCCCCATATATTCTATCTGATCCATGTAATATATTCTATATATGTTGTTCGTGATAATGGTATCATTTTTAGTTTTTGGTTGTTTTTTTGTTTGTTTTGAGATAGACAGGGTTTCTCTGTGTAGCCCTGGCTATGCTGGAACCCACTCTGCAGAGTAGGCTGGCCTTGAACTTACAGAGATCCACCTGCTTCTACCTCCCAAGTGCTTGGATTAAAGGTGAGTGTCACCATGCCCAGTTGGCAGATAATAGTCTTTATAAAAATATTCTCTATGTTATTTTGTTAACAGTGGAGTTTTTTGCTCCTAAAAAAATTTCTAAAATTTTCTTAAAACTCCTTAAAGTTTTTAAACTTAAACTCTAATCAGTAACAAAGCTTTTAACTACTTGGTCCCATCTGTTGAAGGGTGCTGGGTTTTCCTGCTTCCTGTGCCTCTCGTGTGTTTCAGGAAGTTATATTTTCCTGAGATTGTGTTCACTTCCCCGAAGTTTTTAAATCTTAAGATTGTTAATAATGCCAGCAGTGCATGATTGGTGTTTCCTGTATTTACATTCTCCCTTCTTCTTCATATCCTATGCCTGTAAACTCTGTTTTCTCTTTGAATCCATTCTTTGAGAAGTTTGTCACGTTATTAGTTTTCTTAGAGAAAGACGCTAGAGTTTGCCGGTCCTTCCTGCTGAGCCTTTCATCTCTGGCTCATTAATTTATGTTTTCCTAATTTTATTTATTCTTGAGGGGGTGGTGGGGAGAGAAAGGGCGTGTTTTTATCACCTCGTCACACTAGCTTTGCAACTCTTTTCTTTCTCTGCCCGTCTTTCCCTTTTAGTTTTTGTCTTTTTACTCCACTGAGGTAGGATCCTGCTGACTAGCCCTGGCTGGTTTGGTGTTTGTAACCTGCCCCTGTGTCCTGAGTGCTGGAGGTCACACACTAGCATGCAATCTCTTGCCTTTCTTTTAGGCATTAGCACCGACATATTTCCTTCTAATTATTAACTCTGATGTTCTATGGAATTTGATATGCAATGTTTTCATCACCATTTGATTCCAGCTGCTTTTGACCTCAGCATCACTTTAAAATGTTTTTGAATTTCCCAGTTTGCTGAACTTTAGCTTCTCATTGCTGCCACAGTCCTGACTCTGTTCTACTGTGCTAAGGAAAAGGACCTTTATGTCTCAGTCCTCTGACATTTTTAAGATTTACCTTGTAGCCTATGTATGGCCATTTTGGGTTAGGTTAGTGGTGATTGTGACCTGGATACTTCTAATCACTAGGTGATGAGCTCTCAATCAATCTAACAGCCCACTTTTGCTTTTGCTAGTATCCCTTAACACTGGCAATTGATAGTTCCTCCCACCTTACACTGAAGGTGTATGGGGCAGGGCTGGGGACACAGGAGGAGGGCAGGAGATTCTCTGGCATGATGGAGTTGGAGGTAAGCAGCAGCTTGGGCACAGGGCAGAGCATTGTGATTGCTGAAGTGGTACCCTCTCTTCTGACTCCTGGTGAGGTGACCTCTTTAGCCTCAGGTAAGTTCCAGCTCATTCCTGCCTGTTGAACCTGACTCTGTGAGCTGGGGCAGGCTTTGGTTCCTACATTAAGAAGTTGTGATACTGAGCCCCAGCTGTGTAGGTCACCAGGTGAAGTTCTGACTCTGCTCTCACACACTCATGAGCTAGTGTAGTGGGAGCCACCATGACACCTGCAACAGACACAACCATGGGTTATGCATGACAGCCTTATCAGATAGGGCAGCTACTCCTGCTGGGAGCAGCATGGCACACCAGAAGGGCAAAGCCTCTGTCTTTGGAGGTATCAATCAATCATTGCAGACTCGAGCCCAGCAGGTATCTTCGGGCTCTGTGCTCCATTTTTTTCTCCAGCCTAGCAACCAGCAGGCTTCAGCTCTCCAGCTCAGGAAGTGACAGCAAGTGAAAAGCAGAAGTTGCCGAAGCTGCGTGCCTTCCTGGGTAGCAGGGACAGGTTGTGCCCTGGGAGGAGGGGCAGGAGGCAGGCTGCTGTCTGTGTTAACTTGCCGTGTGGAGACACTTGGAAATTGGAAAATGAGTGTATTTATGTCAACATAGAACCACTTGCTCCATCTTGTTGCTGGGTCTCCTGTCACTGGAGTTGTAGGTGGTGGTAAGCCACCATGTGGGTGCTGGGAGATGAAACTGGGTCCTCTGCATGGATAGTAAGTGCTCTTAACCACCCAGCCATCTCTCAAGCTCCCACAATTTCTTACAGCCCTCTCAGAGTAGGTGAAATATTTTTCCTATGCACCATTTATAAGAAGAATTATTTTGGGGTTCATATGTGTTTAGAGAAACAAGTGTGAGCATTTTAATTGTTGGGGTGTGGGGTTCAAACCCAGGGCCTTGGGCTTGCCAGGCACATGCTCTACCACTGAGCTTCACACTCAATTCTTGCTTTTATTTTGACCTTTGAGTTTACCTAGAAGTTGAACTTGACTCTGTTCTTGTCTGTCTAGAATCCTTTTTTAAAAGCTTTCTCAGGCTTTTTGGGGGAAATTTTTTCCTTACATTGGGCAACATTTGTAGATGGAAGTTCCTGTCCTGCCTGGTCCCACAGCCATTCAGTCCAAAATAAACAGAGGTTTACATTGATTATAAACTGATCTGTTGTTAAGGCTTATTATTAACTATCTCTTATAACTTAAATTAACCCATAATTCTTATCTATGTTTAGCCATGTGGCTTGGTACCTATACTCAGTAAGGCATTCTTGCTTCCTCTGCTTCTGGATGATGACTACATCTCTGCCTTTCCTCTTCCAAGAATTCTCCTAGTCTGGTTGCCCCACCTATAAGTCCTGCCTGGTTACTGGTCAATCAGTGTTTTACTAAACTAATATGAGTGAAAAATCTTCATCATTCCACAGCAGTAGAGTCTCACCATGGAGCCCAAGATGGCCTGAAACTTTCTCACCTTTTTGCAGCAGCATGGCATGCGATTATACATTAAGACCATATAAATTTGCCATTATGTGTGGAGATAGGAAGATAGGACATTTTTAGGCTGCTAAAATGATGCAAACTACATTGCTCCTGATGCAACCGCCGGTTCTTTCATGCCTGGAAGGAGAAAAGTGACCACGCCAAAGGATCTAATGGACATCTGTCCACCACGGTAGTCTGACCACCTCTGTGTAGACATCTGGGTCTCCATCAGTAGTAAGAGGCAGGCAGGATGGTGACACAGGCTGCTGACTGGGACGCTCAAGCCTCGCTTTCACACATACCTCTGTGTAGACTGTGGTTTGGTTTCTTCCTCTCTGGTCAGAACTGACAGTCAACACAGGAGGCTGTGATGGGGTCAGGTAACTGTCACATCCTCAGAGAGCACCAGGAACAGGAGAAAGTGCTGCTGTAGTTGGCTGCCACTTAGAGGTTTGACAGGGGAGCCCGATGGATAAGCCATGTTCTGCCAGCTCAGTCGGAGGCTCCACACTTGTTATTACGTGGATTTAGCACCTAAAAAGTAAAAAGTAACATTGCTTACCCACTGTACTTGGATCCTCAAGTCAGCTGGCTGAGCTGGGAGAGGCAGCGAGACTTGAGGTCTGGGAGCTTGAATAGGAGTCCACACTCTCTTCCATTAGTGCAGAAGTGTCCCACACTCGGACTGCAGAGAGGTCACCATGTGGGTGACTGTTATGAGCAGGAGTCAGGAATTTTGCTTCATACTCTTGCCCTTTAAAGTATGAGGTGGTGTCCCCCACTGATCTATGAACAGATCCTGCTGTTTGCTGTACGGTAAGAAACACACATTCTTCTTCATCACGAGTTCCTTTTAGAAAGCATTTACACCCATGCTTCGATGCTTCTGACTCAGCTCACAACCCTTATCTACTTTCGTGTGGGCATCTAAACTGTCGTTCAGCTGGACCTGGTTGCACACATCTGTAAATACAGCACAAAAAGGTCTCAGCGGATGATCAAAAGTTTAAGTTTAACCTGGGCTACACAATGAGCTATCTCTGGAAAACAAAATGGAACAGGAGTCAAAGATGTAGCCCAGAGCTAGTCTTGGTCTCACATGCTGGAGGGCCTGGTTTTGACCCTAGCAGCCCAAGAAAACAGCCGCCAAGCCTGTCAATCTCAAAGGAGAATAAAAGGCCTCCCAGATTCTGAAGCGCCCGTGGTGTGGCTACAGAGTCAGGGTTGAAGGGGAGGTTGCAGAGGCCAACACTACTGTTCCTGCCCTAGGGCTGAGAGGTTGCTCAAGGTCTGGCTCAAGGTCTGGCTTTTTCTACACAGCAGGCAATGTCCTGCTTTAAGACTTGCCAGCGGGGAGCCTTTGGGAAAGAAATCCACCTGAAGTGATGCTTCAGTCTTAGAGCTATGGAGAGAGCCAGAGTACTTATAGTGACTGCTTCAGCATCCAGCGTATGCTAACTTCGCACTACCCGGCAGACCAAGTAACAGGACTTCCCTCACCACTCCCACCCCCACCCACCCTGCCTGCAGAGGGCCAAGAGGAACCCGCTGCGGCTGGAGCTTCCTTCCTTGTCAGTCACGTGGGGCTTGGCTCCCATCCCTGGAGCTGGGGTTATTAGGCTCACTTGGCAGCTCTCTCGGGAGCCAGAACAGAACACCACCATGAGCTCTAGGGTCCCAACACTGAGAGCCCTTCTGGTCCTCTTGGGTAAGTGAAGTCAGGTGGTGGAAATGGAAGTGGGTGTTACCTCTGCCAGCCTGGGAGCCTAGTGAGCAGAAGCTGCAGAGAACAGCCATGGGCTTCCCCTTTGAATCATGACACATCCCTCAGGATAGAAGGTGGCTTTGTTGACTCTGGTGGACAGTGAGCAATGTCTCTGTTTCAAACAAGTGTTGGCTGGGCTGAGGGAGGAGGGGAGGGGTGGCGTTGGGGGGAGAGTGCCAGGCTATCTAAGAACAATCTGCTTCCACTGTGGCTTTCTTTGTTCATCACAAACTGGGATATGCTTCTGACACTCTGAGTTTCAGTTTCTGACCTAATGAAATGGAAGATAATAATGTTTACTTTGTGGACTCGCAAGAGAATTGAGTTAAACTTAAGTGACCCAAATCAAGATAATTGCACAGCAGAGAGAGGCAGATGGTGCTGCCCCAGTCCTGGTGACTTTGTGTGGAGTGGACCCAGAAGCATCTTTATTTTTAGAAATCACCTTTATTGCTAAGCCCTGAAAGGTAGAAGGATGGAGACAGTCGGGGGTAAAGTGGTCCCAACAGGAAAGAAAAAAAAATATCCAGAGAAGCATAGAGAGGAAACATGGAGAACTGGAGAAAAGTTTAGCAAGATGGTTAGAGATTTTCAGAGATGTGGACAGCAGTGACGGGGATGCAGAGATGTAGACAGCGGTGATGGGGATGCAGAGATGTGGACTGAAATGATGGGGATGCAGAGATGTAGACAGCAGTGACGGGGATGCAGAGATGTGGACAGCAGTGACGGGGATGCAGAGATGTGGACAGCAGTGATGGGGATGCAGAGATGTGGACCACAGTGATGGGGATGCAGAGATGTAGACCACAGTGACGGGGATGCAGAGATGTAGACAGCAGTGACGGGGATGCAGAGATGTGGACCTCAGTGATGGGGATGCAGAGATGTGGACCTCAGTGATGGGGATGCAGAGATGTGGACCACAGTGATGGGGATGCAGAGATGTAGACAGCAGTGACGGGGATGCAGAGATGTGGACCGCAGTGATGAGGATGCAGAGATGTGGACAGCAGTGACGGGGATGCAGAGATGTGGACAGCAGTGACGGGGATGCAGAGATGTGGACCTCAGTGATGGGGATGCAGAGATGTGGACCGCAGTGATGGGGATGCAGAGATGTAGACCGCAGTGATGGGGATGCAGAGATGTGGACCACAATGATGGGGAGAAGTGCTGCTTTGCAGATTGGATGTCAACTGTTGTTTCTTTGGAAGGCAGCTATGCTCACGTCCAGCAGCACACCATCTTTGTTTTTCTGGAAAGACAGCAGTCTTATAATTTAAGATGTGTTTTCCAGAAAACTAAACAAAAATGGAGAGACAAGCAGACTGCTTCCTAAGTAGACAAAGATTCCCCCAGCTGCCCTCCATGTGTGCCTGTGCCAGGCAGGGGCAGCACAGACCTAGATCTTGGGAATTAGCATGTCAAGACAGGCACTCTCATCTACATGTGGGCGTGGCTCCCTGGTAGTGACAGTGATGAGATGGCAGGAACCAGTAAGCAGTGAGTGAAGGTTCTCAGGACAGCTAACTCGGTGTTCCTGCTGAGCAGAGGCTGGAGCCAGCGGAATCTCTCATTTCTGCTTTGAGCCGACAGAAATACAGACCCATTTGCCCCAGGGAACCGGGGGGGGGAGTTGTGAATTTAAGAAAAGTAGTAAATAAAGTAAAATTCCATAAACAGGGAATTCATTGAAGAATTGCAGACAATAGCTTGCAATACTCAGGCTGTCAGACCCTGAAAGAAGTAATAGCATGTGGCAGGTTTTGGTGCTTTTGGGCTGTGAAGTATGGGCTAACATTTACCTTGGCTCAGTCAAGTCCTCAGCTGCGTGGAAACACACCTTGGGTACTCAGTCTCCTCATCTGTCGAGGCAGCTAATGGTCCATCCCACTTCCCACTGAAGTTGAGAGGATTAACCCTGTTACTGCCTTCTGTCTTCTTAGCACAATGTCTCGTGGTGTACACACAGGATCAGGCATTAGGGAGATTTACTGATTTAACTTCATGGAGGCATTTGGTGGGTGGAGAAGAAGCTGAAGCTGTTCACAGTGTTTGACCCAGAAATTCCAGGTCAAAGAATTTACTCTAATAAAATAACAGGGTAAAAGTTTCCCACAGAGGGAATCTCAACGAAGGGATTGTCCGGATGGGATTGGTCAGTGCCCTGTCTGTGGGAGACTTGTCTTGGTGGTTGATGATGTCACAGGGCTCCCTGTGGGTGGTGCTACCTCTGAGCAGGTGATCTGGGCTGTGTCAGAAAGCCTAGCAAACACCAGGTAGAAGTTAGCCACTAAGCAGCTTGTTTAAGTTAGTAAGTTGGCAGTGGTCATGGTGTTCATTACAGCAACAGAAAAGCAAACTAGAGCATTGTCTGAGAAACATTCTAAAAGTCACCTTATTAAAACAGGCTGTGCCATTCAAGGGTAGTATCTGAAATGCATTTGTGTGTGTGCCTTCACGGAAAGGTCTAGTGTTATTTTTATGTCTGTAATATAAACATCCCTAATATTTGCTTTAGAGTCTTTCATTTACGACCTCTTTGCAAGGCTGCTGCCATTCAGTCCCCATTTAATAGTCACGAGAACTGCCTGTTCTGAGCCCTGGTTCTGGATCTGTCTATATTTGAACACTGTAGTGCAGGTTTGACAAATAGCTCATGACACTTGGCCATGTACGGTAAGGTTGCACAGAATCTTCTTGACTCTGGTCACTCCTTCTTGCTCTGCAGCTTTTCCTCACAAGCATGGTGAAGCCCACTTCCTGAGGGTTAACCCGTGTCATGCTTCCCTAAGAGCTGCCCATGGACCTTGTTTGCCTCTCAAATACAACCCAACAGGGGCTGTCCTTGTAGCCAGGCCCATTTGGACAGACGGACAGAGAAGCACACGATGGTGAAGTGGCCTCTCAGAGGTCACAGAGCAGGAAAGTGGCCGCTGAGTTCAGATTCAAAATGGGGCATTCTGACACATCCAAGCTATCCTTTCACAGCCTACAGCAACGGGCCTCTCAGCTCAGAATGGAAATGGGGTCACCATGAAAACACCCTCATGGTTTTTAAAACGCATTGTTCAGATTTCCATTTCAAACTTAAAGAAAAGCGCGAACAACAAGGAGTATGCATATACTCAGAAGGGTTGACTGTTGAGAGCAGTTCACCCCACTTTCTTCATCGGGGGTTTCTTTCTGTGTGCCTTGTTCTATAAATCATTTGAGGCCAGGCTGCATAACATCAGGGCTCTCTTTAAACCCTAGATGCATGAGTGTGTGTTTCCCAAGCCTAGAGACAGGCTCAGCCGTGTGGGTGGAGCTGGAGGGACATCACGTGACATGAAGAAGGCGGGGCACAGGGATCAGATGCCACAGGTGACCACACCTGCACGCTCTGAGAGTGTCTTCCTGAAGAGCAGAGCAGTGGATGGGGGCTGAAGAAGAGACACAGTGCGTGTCCAGGGCAGGAAGTGATGCTGGTGTTCTTATCCTTTCCATGTTTATGGTTCTGAGTGTAAAACTATGCTATGAGATTTTGTGGTCTCAAAGTATGTGGCTAATTAGTATTCAATATTCCTGTCGTCTTTTGTTTACTCTTTATGTACCTGTGATAGGAAAACTATGAAGAGACCCTCCCGCCTCCAGGGTGCAAGCAAACTGTCTCTAGTTTATTTGGAACATTGCTGGGCTATTTATTATACCATTTTGGAAGAACCCCTTGGCCAAGAGTTTTAAAATGCTAAATTTCAGGGCGCTACTGCTTGAGTTTATTTTATTGTAACTCTGCTCCTTAACTTTCCCCAGGGAGCTGTTCACTAATGTGAACCAGAAATCAGTCTGCGTATGTACCCTCACCAATCCTATAGCTCTCAGTAAGTGAGTTACTGACAACAAAACTTACTGCTTCGTAAAGACAGACATCTCAGTTCCTTTTCCCCAGGGCTTTAAACCTATTCTTTACCCTCAAAGAACCAGGATTTCCAGCTAAGCCTTTTAGAACTAAATAGAAGTCTTAAGTTTTATCCTTTATGACTTGTTTATGTTTAGAAGTAGCCTTGTAGAAGATGCAGTGTGCCTGACCGCATCTCTGAGGAATGTGGCATATTCAGTTGAAGCTGTGCATGTATCATGGCTTTTCCACAGTTCTGAATCAACGGGTTTGCATGCTGATTAAAATCAGACACGGTTGAAAGTGTAAGCAATAGTAGCAGGCCCATAACTGAATGCTGATATTCTAATGCATGGTTGAAAATTTTCATTATGAAGTAGTTACTAGTGATTTTCTATATGCATTTATCAGTAATAAAGCAATAAATATGCTTCAACCAATAGCTTGATTTTATTGTTTGAATTATTTTTATTTTCTAATTAAAGATTATCTTACTTCCCTTTCACCAATAACTGGAGCCCCTACATTCTATAGTGATGCAAATAAATCAGGAAAGGCAAGTTACAAATCAGAAAATTCAAGTAAAGTGTATCAAAGCCCTTATTATTCTGTTCAAAAGTCAGAATTATATGCTATTCTCCTGGTACTAAAGGATTGAAAAGAATCTCTCAACATAGTTACTGATTCACAATTTGCAGAAACCATTGTTTTGTATATTGAAACCGCTGAATTTATGACACAGAATTGACTTATTATTTATTCAGTTACAAGATATAATCAGGAATAGGCATCTTCCCATATACGTAACACACATCCAATTTCATATGGGTCTGCCAGGTCCTTTAGCACAAGGTAATGCAGAAATCGATCAATTATTGATTGGAAATGTACTGAAGGCCTCAGAATTTCATAAAGAAAACATCATGTCAAGGATTTTTCCATTACATGGCAACAAGTCAAGGAAATTATTATTATTATTTTTTTTGTTTTTTCGAGACAGGGTTTCTCTGTGGCTTTGGAGCCTGACCTGGAACTAGCTCTGTAGACCAGGCTGGCCTCG